GGTTGGTTGAGGGAATGTTGTTAATGTAGAATTTCTTGTCAATAGATGATCATCGGTAAAAAATCGTGGTGAAGATGGAGGTGTTGAATTCGGTGATTGATTATTGATATTATTATTTCTATGAATGAATTGATCATTAGTATTACATAATAATAATGATGAATTACGATTGAATGGATTAGAACTTACACTACGTCGACGAATCAATAATCTTGTATTGTTTTTTGATTGAACATTTTGTGAACAATCATAATTTGGAATATTTGTTGGGACAATAACAATATTATCATTAAATGTTTTAGGTAATATAACGTTACTACTAATAGTACTATCATTGACACTATGATTATTATTACTAGAAGTAATAATAGTAGTATCGTTATTAGTAGTATTTGTAGTGTTGATAGGAGCAGTAGTCGTTACTGTTGTTGTTGTTGTTGTTGTCGTTGTTATTGTTGTGTTATTCATACTCCATATAAGTGAACGACGACGTACACGTGGATCTAATGGTTCTGAGGTAACTGATGTCAGTGAATAAAAATTCGGGTATAGAGCATCCATTATTCCCTTATTTATTTATTTATTTTAGAAGAGAATGGAGTAATATAATTCCAAATGGAAGAAAAAGCCATTAATTTCGGTAACATTCCTGATACCATCTAATCATGTGTAAAGTAATCATATAAGTAGTATTATTCCATAGAGTAAAATAAACTTTCAACTATGTGTTCCATCCATTGAAACTATACAAGATCATTTGAATGTTGAATATGATATTTTTTTAAAGAAGAATTTACTGTAGAATAGTCCGCAAGTATATGTACATATGTACATTAATTCGTTAATACACAATTATATACACTATTCGATACTGACGAATATCAGTGTGTGTGTGTGTGTATGTGTATGTACACGTACCTATTCAGGCATCATAATGATGATGATGATGATCAGAAATACAATCCTAGTTGCTGACTATTCAACTGTTAAACATTATAAAACTTCAAAGAATATATAGATACACATAAAATGCACATATGTATCCGACCTAGAGACATATAAGCACATTTGGAAATTTTCGATGCTATCCTACTAATTTAAAACCATCCCTTCGGATATGTATGTACATGTCTACGATGTTCATTTTTACAATGATAGACATAATCATATATATATGTAGACAATACTAATAACACATAGCCATAGGAACAAAAGAATCTTTACTGTTTTTCAAGAAACGATTTAAGAAAACTGGGATCATGCACAATTGTATTACACTTTATAAACGTGCGCGCATACACACACACCCATACACCCATACACCCCCATTCTTCTTATTGATCGGTTCTTGAGGAATGTGAAGTGTATTTATAGTTTGAAAGTTAAAACGGATTGGAAATATCTATTCGACAATTTAATTTTCAAGCAAACAACCAAACAAACAAGTGTCTATAAAGCAGCAATGTATGTGTACGTGTGTGTATATACGGGCACATTCACTACAGTTACTAGAATTTACCGGTAGTGAATCGGTTTTGTTTTTCGATATATATATATATATATATATATATATATATATATATACACGTATGCCTACTTATGTAATACTGTATCGATCGAATTAATAGGTTATTTTAATTTTTTGTTGCTATCGCAGCATTTACACTCTTAGGAAACATGTTCTCATGACTGTTCATCATGATGAGTATAAAAAGATGTATGTATTCAGTGCGTATAGAATTATGTACTATTATTTGCTTGAAGGAAAACGTTTTATTGACTTGTAATACTCCGGTAATCACCTATTATGAAATCTAACATTTATATTATGTTCATAATTAGAGAGGGATTTTGTAGAAATTATAGTAATTTAATAGTTGAATTCATGAGACAAGTGAAGCTAGACCACGATGGGAAACTTGGAAGCACTGGACAGCCGATTCTTCCTAGTATGGGACACCTCAACAGTGCTCACCCATCCTCCCAGCGAGATTCAAACACGGGACCTATCAGTCTCGCGTGTGAGTGCTTAACTACTAAATCACTGAGACGGGATCGTGGACGTGCACTACTGAGGAGTTTCATACTAGGATGAAACGGCCATCCAGTGCTTCCAGGTTCTCCATGGTGATCTAGCTTCAATTGACTCATGATCTCAATTATTAAAATTATTACAATCTCCACAAAACCCCTTCTGATACTAATCAACAAATGCTTATTAGTGACTGGCTTCAAGATGTATTTCCTGGAGTTCTAGTAGAAAGCAGTGACCAGTGGAGTTCAACCGGGTCTGTTGTGAGATAGTAACTCACTGATGACAGTGGTGGATGTGTCGCTAAATTTCATGGATTAATTGAAGTTAGACATCAACACCGTTGGATGCCAGCCAGCTGAGTGGTCTAGTGGTTAAGCGCTCGCGCGTCAGACCAGTAGGTCCTGAGTTCGAATCCCGCGAGGCAGGGTCATGGATGCGCACTGCTGAGGATTCCCACAATAGGACGAAACAGCCGCTCAGTGCATATACATGTATTCAATGACATAAAGAAAACTAATGAATACACTTATTGAAAACTGTTCCTCCTCTCTCTCTCGCTTCAATCAGAGGTGTATATGGATGCAAAGGGAACACTCAAGCAGTGTATGTAAATGTTTGTGTATGTGTGTTAGGGGGGGGAGTTTTAAATGGGAAATTATTAAATATTCATTCTTTCCATGTGAGATATGTACGCTTATTATTGTTATTATTAATGTTGATGAAAAGATTAAGGTTATGTTGGGATGCCTTGAAAACCTCTCGAATGTATTTCTTGTTTTCTGAATTAATATCTATTTACTCTTTGTATAGATATGCCAAAAATATCATGAAAATGTCAATATATGTAATATGGCAAAACATAAATGTTAACAAAATCATTATAAGGAATAAAACCTTTTTAAAGTTTATTTATTCAAGTATGTTACTAACATGTTACTACTTGCTGTGAATAACATTAAGGATAATTAATTGATCAGTGGGTGGTGATCAATGTCATGTATGTCAGGTCTTTCTTAGTGCAGATTGAATCCTATCGATCAAGTTGCCATGTGGCCACCAGTCTAGGTGATTCGACATTGGATGCACTATGCTGAGATAAGATGGTGGTTGGAGGTACACCTTGTTGACGGGTGCCATGTAGAACGAAATCTAGGTCCAGGGTTTCTTGTTAACTATCTTCAACCACCATCTTATAACATTAAGCAAATATTACTTAGAATAAAATGAAAATTCATTGGAATGTTATAATTTCACTAAAGCACTTATAAATGTAAATTATCATTATTGATGAAGTTTAATAGTTGAACGTATATTTGTCAGAAGGCCGCGTTAAGACCTACATTTCATCCAGCTAGATATTTAATACTTAATAAAGTCTACACTTACATTCATGAAAGAACTGATACGAACCACCCTGTAAGATTTGAACTAACAATATTTATAAATGTTAATAATCAGCTATTCATACTGTAATTGACTTTTAATTCAGGGATGAGATTTAAACATATTGGGTAGTAACCAATTGAATTTTGTATTTAATGATTGATTAACTGATTGTAACTAGAATGGAACTTAGGCCATCTATTCAACCGGCCTCTTATTAGTTGCCTTCAACTATCTAACATTGTACATTTGGTCACGTTGTCATATATATTATCATCTCATAAAATTTATAGTTTACACCATTAGAGATAAGACATACTTCAAATACTTTTAGATGGTGGAGATTTGTAACTGAGGTCAGTCAGTCAGCTACAACGTAGAACCAGGCACATATGTACATCGGTCCAAGTTGCCATACCTCATTAGCACAACAAGATGAAGACCAAATTCATAGAAGTAGTTAACTCATTGGTGGTAATATATAGAAAAAAGATGGAGCCACCGTACAACATTGTCTTCAGTGAGCTGATATCTCACAACAGACCTGCTTGAACTCCACTGGTAACAGCTTCTCACTAGAACTCCAGGATTATTTCTTGAAGTCAGTCACTAGTGAACAGTTGATTATTACCAGTGGTCTATTGGTTAAGCGGTCGCACGTGAGAGTGATAGGTCCTGGGTTCAAATCTCAAGAGCTGCGGAATCGTGAATGCGCACTGTTGAGGAGTCCCATTCTAAGACGAAACGGCCGTCCAGTGCTTCCAGGTTTTCCATGGTGGTCTAGCTTCAATTGTCTCATGAATTCAACCATTAAATTACTATAAAATCTACAAAACCCCTCTCTTAATTTAAATAAAATTGTTCTGTTGCAATTACGACTTCTTTGAATAACACGTTTATTCAATGAAGTCCTAATTTATCACTTTAGTCTTTCATCAGCCGAGTGGACGTACAATTCTAGTCATAATGTAGCGAACGAGAACACAAGTTGGTACAATCGAACGTATGTGAACACGAAATTACGGAATCTCTTAGTAAAATCAGAGAACCATACAATAAAAACTTCATTTGCAAAATATCTACCAATCGTCTCAGATTTCATTGTTCCTGCATTACCATACCAGTTGCTTTTTGTTCATGTTCGTTTCTTCTCGATCTTCTTGACCTTCTGCTACCAGACATTCTATTCTTGACTAGCGTTATATACTACTTATGTTGATATAAGTAGTGCACACCACAATTGTATCTATCATGTATTAGTTATCAGGTTTGTCTAGTTTACGTAAATCTTGTCTCATATTCGTAAAGAAAACAAAATCTGTTAATCATTCCTAATTTAGAATAATCTCAAATTAGGACATTAGATTAATGTTGAAATGGTGATTGTTTCATCTGTCGATAGTCATACTGAAATCGTTGGCCGCATTTATTATTAGAAAGAAAGAAAGAAAGAAAGAAAGAAAGAAAGAAAGAGAGAGAGAAAGAAGGAAGGAAAGCAGGAAATAAAGAAGGAAGGAGAGAATGAAAGAAGAAATTTGACAGATTCATAAAAAGAAAGAAAGAAAATTTACCATGAACTTACATTCGTTGTTAATTGTGTTGTTAATTCACTAACTTTTTTCTCAGCTTGTTCAAGTTTACGTTTAAGTTTTTGTATCTATAACAAACAAACAAAAATATTGACAAGAATTCCTTGGAAAATGTTATAGTGAAAGAAAAAGAAAAGTGACTTGAATTAGTAACAAAGGACCAAGTGATATGTCTTACTACCGATAGACGTAAAATCTAAGCGGAATCTAAACAGAATAAACTTTACAATGTGTGATCTCTTAAATTCAATGTAATCAAACATATCAATCTTCAATCACTGACTAATCATGGCTTACTTCCATCTGGTAAACTAGTTCTCTATTCAAATTTGATGTAAGAAAAACTGTTGGATACAGAGTCAGTGGTTTAGAGATTAAGCGTTCGAGCTTCAAACTAAAATTGCTTGATTTTGATTCCCTTTGATGAAGGGTCTTGGATGTGCACAAAGTGATATATTTTACTACCGATACGCGTAAAATGTCTTCCGAGTTAGTTCTTATAACTCCAGACTACTTCTACATGTCAACTGGAACAATAAAGTGAAGGCACGAATTATGTGTAAAACCTTTAATTTATGGTTAGTTCATGTACAGAAAAAGCAAAGATATGTATGGACTCCTCCATGACCTTGCACTTCTGCAAATTTCCGGGACCATACTAACTATATCAGTGGTATAGATAATTATCCAGTCAGAATTGTCATATGAGATTCTATTCAATGCTGATTGGATAAAACATTTCCTGGAGCTTCTAGGCTTTTAGAGAATTTAATAAGAGACATTTTGGGACTTCTCCAACACTTTGAACCACGAAGCCATTGAAAACCTGTTTCTTTCTAGTATGAGACTTTTCAGCAGTGTGCACGCACAACCCCACCACTAAGGATCAAATCAAGGATACTTGAGTTTCATTATGAGCGTTTGACTTCCAGATTATTGGCTAGGTACCTAATAGTTGATATTATCTAAAGTCACTCAGTCTGTGATATTGCTCAACCATCGTCCAATGTCATTATTAAGCAAAATTTGAATTGTACTGGTCACAAATTCTCACAAAAACTTCAAGAAATACCTCTCGAAATCATTCACTATTGACTACAAGGACATTATAACTGTGGAATGCTGATAGTCCAGCTAAGATCAATGCATGCTGTAAACCATAAAACCCAACACTTTCTATGAAATCCCTTTAAGACTAAGTCATTTAAACACTAGTTATTTTGTTGGCCTACTTCTATCTGGTACACTAGTTCTCTATTCAAGCTTGATGTAAGAAAAACCACTGGATGCGGAGTTAGTGTTTTAGAGGTTAAGCGTTCGAGCTCCAAACTCAAACTGCCTGGTTTTGATTCCATTTGGTGAGGGATCGTGAATGTACACTGCTGAAGAGTCCAACATCAGGACGAAATGGACATCCACTGGCTTAGCTTAGATCGGTTCATGATTTTAATAAAATTTAACAATCTCTGCAACCTAATACTGATAATGAGCAAATCAAAGTTGTTATTGCAATAAAAGCAACAAATATATAAGTATATTAATCAAGAAACATAACATAAAACTGAACTCACTTCTTCAGCTTGTTTTTCCTCTACCTAGAATAGATATTTGAAAAAGGAATACAATCAGGTTAATATATACATATGAAAAAATATATATTCACTATGACGGTGAATTGAAATCCACTTCAATATAACTTACAAATGTATACATAAAACACTGTTTTGATATAAGATCTTCAAAATGAACTGAATTCTATCGGTCCGATTGTTAAGGTAGAGGTGTGGTGTGTGTTACTTATTTTGACATAAGTAGTATATGATGTTAGTCGTGAACAGAGAGTCTGTCAGCAGAGAGACAAGAGGATCGAACAGTAAAGAATGAAAACAGGATACAATTTGTATGAAAATGCAAGAACAATGAAGTCGGAGTCATTTTGAGAGGATTGGTGGACATTTTGTAAATTAAGCACTTACTAAACGTTTCTCAGATTTTATCGAGATGCTCTGTAATTTAGTGCTCAAATACATTCGATTACCTCACCCGTGTTCTTGTTCACTACAGAGGATCTGGTCGAACTCATTCGATTTGAAGTTCATCTTTATTAAGAACTCGTCATTCTATAGACATATACAAAGATATACCACTGTAGATGATACTGTACTCATGACGTTCAAGTGTTTCAGAGAAAGTCTAATACTGTAATGAACGAGAACACAAGTGGGGAATATAGATTTACAGAGTATTTTAGTAAAAGCTGATAACCATACATTAAATACTTCATCTCAGACTTGACTTTTCCTTCTGCACATGTCAATCAATTGTCTCAGACTTCATGGTTATTGAGATTTCACACTAATCATTCTTTGGTCTTGTTCTCTTTTCTTTCATCTTCTTAACTTTCTACCTCCAAATATCTCACTTTAGACTGATTTCACATACTACTTATGTCTGTCGAGATCAGTAGCACACACTTATATATTTAATCAATTCATAGTTATTTGACAAAATAATCATTTTTAGTAAAGTTGAACTATATCACATATCAGAACTTTTTAATGGAATTTCGGATGATTCTTTCTGGAACCTGATCAATCTATAAATGACTCTAATAGTGGGTAAAGCAGCTAACTAGATGACTTAAAAGCTGAAGAGTTAGATAAAGTCTATGAACAACCTAAATCTTGTCAATCATAATGAATAAGTTTTGATAGTAGTCAGTTGATTTTAATCTATCATTGAAAATCAGTCTCAAATGAATCATTTCTTCAATACGATATCAATAGTCAAGTAATATTGAGTAGTTATTCAGCAGTATAATTCATTTCTGGCAATTTATGACTGACTTCAAGAGATTCTCTTGGAGTTCTAGTGAGAAGCCGTTACCAGTGGAGTTCAACCAGATCTGTTGTGAGATTTCAACTCACTGAAGACAATGGTGTACAGTGGCGCAACTTCATGGATTGGTTGAAGTTAGACATTAACACCGCTGGATGCTGGGCCGGTTTAGTGGTCTAGTTGGTCAAGCGCCTGGCGTGAGACTGATAGGTCCTGTGTTCGGATCTCGCGTGGTGCAGGATCGTGGATGCGCGCTGTGAGGAGTCCCATTCTAGGACGAAACGGCCGTCCAGTGCTTCCAAGTTTTCCATGGTGGTCTATCTTCAATTGAACCATGATTTCAATCAGTGAAATTTACGAAACGTTTAGAAACATCATGGAAGTAGCTTAACATTTACTGGATTGGATTTGTAAGTGTATATACTTTTTCTCAATTGATAACACATTAGAGTTTTAAACGGAAGTTAACTCATTCAAGTCTAAGTGTGTAACATGAATACTGTGATTTAGGTGTTTCAAGCTAGCAATTCTTAAATGAAACGAGATAAATGTACTAAATTCCATTTTTAGTCAATTTACAAGTTTAATTAAATTAATGGGATTAGATTTTTGAAAAAAAAACTCAGTAGACAATTACGCAATCGCCTTAATGCGATTTTTCTTTAAAAAGCGTTAAACTACTGAAATATATACAAGTAGTAGAGTGAGATCTGAAAATTAATGTAAATTCACAGGTTGAAATCATGAGTCAGTTGAAGCTAGACCACCATTGAAAACCTGGAAGCACTGGACGGCCGTTACGTCCTGGTATGGGACTCCTCAGCAGTGCGCATCCACGATCCCGCACCACGCGGGGCTCGAACCCAGGACCTACTGGCTTGGTATTCTTTGCTTGAATCTTCCCATTGACGTTTAAGATTGTAATTGATCAGTCTGTTATTGACATATGTGAATACTATGCATATTGCATCGATATTAATTCACAAGCTTTATAAGCAAATATGGATGAGTCCCGAATAGGACAAAGCACACGTCCTGGATTCCAGTGCTAACCACTATCCATTTTCGCTTACTAAGATAAAGTTTTTTATACTGAAATCTTCATTGCAAATCTTCATAAGCAAAAAAATATATTTATGTGTATGATTTGATCAGTCTTGTCAAATAATAGTTATCAGTCACTGGTATTCAGGACTGCATTCATGCCCATCTGAAAAGTTTTAGTCTATCTGAACTCCGAGGATAATGGGTTATTTTGTGAAAATAAAGAGACTGGGTTCATGTCTGATTGTAAATATCATCAGTGAAATGGAGTTTTGAACAGCTGATTAGTCTGAAATAGAACAAAGTATGCATCCTAAACTCCACTGCTGATCATGATCCATTATCTGTATATAGCTAGTGACAGATTATTTATATCAAAGTACTTCTTTCAGAATGCACGTGTTTCAACTAAAGTTGACCCATATTCAACCCTGTATATTATCTGATCAATAGTGTAGATCACGTTATGATTACCAATGTCAACTGGACGGTTTAACGGTGAGTTATAGTTTTTTTCACTTGAGTTTAATTTCAGTTTGTTAGTTATCATCAATTTTTCTGTAGACTATCAATTTAAGGGATTTATGGTACAGATGAGTGTAGAGGTCGTTGAATTTTGTCACTTTGCATCGTTTAATAACTTAAATCAGATAGTTAATGAAAGTTATAAGATATTAGACAACTGTTTGATCATATGAAAGGCTGTTTTTCAGCAGTGAACATCGACGACCGTACTGCAGGTCGAACGTAGAACTTCCAGGTCCCTAAGGTGAATGCTTGGTAATCCATAGAAAAGCACGGAGTACCGGATAACTGTTTCTTTTGGGATGAGATTCATTAGCAGTGTGTACGAACTTCTCAGGAATGTAAAAATAAGACACATACACTGTGAAACCTGAAAATTTAAAGTGTCATCTCTAATTTTAGTCCTGAGTGCACACGTATGAGTAGTATCATACTAGCGCCGAACAAATATCTAAATATTCCTTGACTTTTAACAGTTTATAATCGAGATTTTCCTCAAGTTTATTAAACTTCACAACAAGTTAGTCAGTTATCTTTTAAGTTCTATACAAAAAAGAAGCAAAAAAGAAAGAAATAACCTTCTTACCGTAGATACACAAGATCCATTTGAAGTAAGCGATAGCCTTGAACCATTCACTGGTAAAAATCAAACAGTAATGTAATACTGAATAAAGTTTATAGATAAATGGGAAGTTAGTTTACAAAATAAAAACTCAAAAAAATACTGATAATGACAAGTGTGTGATACCAAATGCCTCGGTACGGTCGAGGGTGTGGGGAGTTAGTCACTGCCAGGGAAGTCCTACTCATTGCCTTCTCTTGACGGGGGTGTTATTCACGAAATTAAGAAGACGAAAAGCGAATGTCCGGCACTTTAAGCGGGTTGGTGGATATGGAGGATCCACCTAGGGGGGTTGAGAAACCCTGATTCTAATCGAGTGGTGCAAACGGACTCAAGGATCCTGAAGGAACAAATGGCGTATGAACCTATTATTGGTTACCGGCTACCATGGAACTCCATTTTCTGACGTTGCTCCACTGTCTCATGGATCAGACCTTTAGGATGAAGTTTCCGAGTGTTCCCCCCCCCCCGAGAAAACCACCTGCTTCAGTCTGGGCACCCGGGCAGTATCACAGCTCACACACAAATCAAGTGACTTTTGTGGCGCATATTCGAGGCCCCTTTGTACCAGTATTTATTTCTGTTTATCAGGAAGACAGGAACATTTTAGTGAGTTGACAACACACACACACACACACACACAAACAAACACCTCACTTGATGGTTATTTATTTCGATAGAAGATTACATCATTCAATTTCTGCTACACAAATTTTACCTGAGATAAACAAACAGATTAGATGAATAAAAGTTTTATAGTTTAATCACTCGTTAATAATATTGAAATCTGGATACCTGACTTAATTATTATTTGATATTTCAATATTACTTATATACATCATCAAGAGTTTGTACATGTCATAGATCGATTTCAGATGAGGTGTTATCGGAAACCAGCGGACACTAGAAAGTTGTTACTTCCTAGTGTGAGACTTATCGGGAATCCTCATCAAAGACCCTGAAAGAAATAGAACTTGACCTCTTCATATCTTACAAGGAACGGTGAATTATCAAAAAACACTGTGTTGATTGATATAACTACTATAACACATATATGGTGATGTACCGCTTCAAATACTTAGAGATTATTATTGTCATTATGTTATGAGGAACTTTGATGTGTGGGCGAGAATGATAATGATTGGTTGTCTGCTTAGTCAGACATGTAGATAGTCTTACAAATGTCAGATGAGTTATATATTCACCTTATCCTTATTATTATTACGTCTCACTTATTATTGATTGTTCATTGTTGTTGGATTGTGTCGGGTTTTTAGTGTGGAAGTATATTCACGTTGTGGTCAGGCTAATCACATGGTCTTGACCTGAGTTGTGTTGAATTACTGTAGAATAGACCTTGGGAGGGAATTCAGTGTAGATAATCGTTTTAGGTAAATTAACTTCCCATACGTAAAACGTGGAAACCCAACCGTTATACATTAGACGAAGTAAAACCGAGCGTTATAACAAACTTTTCATGATCTGTATTCGTATCTAGGTGAGACTTTGTCAATACTGCTTATCTATGACTTTATGCACGACTAAAACAAGACCTTTGATAGGCTGAATAGGTTCAAACACGTCAAATTCTAGTGAGAAATTGAAAAGACTTCATACTATCTCAAGACTACATGAAGACAAGCAAAAAATGTAAACGTAGACAATCTAATATGATTTAGGAAGTTATTTATTTACCCAAAGTCATGACTTGGATTTCCCCAACTGGGTCAATCATGATACACATTTATAAATTCAAGGGATTTGTACACTGAACTTTTAATAAATCAGAATGAAAATCAAAGTAATAGTAACTTCCAAGTCTAATTTATGGATTATTATCATATACATTCTTATTGTATAATTTCTGAGTAACTATGTATATATTCACCAAACTGCATCACGAGACAAGAGCTAACTTAGAATCCTGAAAGTAAGCAGAAAAGAGGGTGACCAGAGAATACATTACGTCGAGAAATAGAGGCAGATATGAAGAAGGATGAATAACAATTGGAAAGACCTGGAAAGGATTGCCCAGGACAGGGTTGGATGGAGGATGCTGGTCAGCGGCCTATGCTCCTCCACGAGGAGTAACAGGCGTAAGTAAGTAAGTAATTAGACATGTATACATTCCATGTATCACACTCTTTCGGTTAACCCATAAACTAGTTTCATACGACTTATTATTTATAATTCATTGCCCGTCTTTTATTTACAGTCTCCTCTATTCACAGCTACTTTTCGTTTGTTTATGTATAATTATGATTTTGCATTTTATAGGGTGATTTGGTCTGTTATGGCTGTATATAAACCAAGTTCGTTTAAATAAAATTATAGTAGAAGCTAGTTTCTGACTTTTTGGTCTCAAGGCAGGGGATCAAGAGAAGCTTGAGAATAATGAACCAATGGGAACTCAGCTATGTCGGCTCAAGATCAGTATTGCTGATCTGACGTGCAATTGGTCAAATCGGGGACCGTGGGTTATGGTGGACACAGAACAGATGAGATTAGAACTGGGATTCTGATTACTGCTTAAGGACTTGATATAAGTCAGCGGTCTTCAAGACAAAACAAATTTATTCTATCATTAAAGCTTCCTATGTAAATATCCCCTTTCCTACCACCATTACATAAATTGATAATTAAAATTGATAACAAATATTTAGATTAAATCACCTCCTAATCCACTGATTATTTGTGAACCAGATTCTGGGCAACTAAAGCCAGATGTTGTACCAATTAGACTGGCTGGAGCAGCATATGGTAATTTAATTGGTGTTCCAGGTGGTGCACTTATAGTTCCTGGTAAATTTATCTCATTATCTTGATTAGTCCGATTACCACTGCTACTGCTATTACTCATCATTCCTTTAATCATTAAACCAGTAGATGGCATAAATTGATTATATAAATAAGATGGTGATAATGGAACAATTCCATAAATTCTTTCAGCATCATCATGCTTTGCGATAGACGATGATAATGATCTACCGTCAATTTGTCGTCGTCTTGCTCTTGTCAGTAAACTTTGTTGTTGTGATATACCCGACTGATTTATACTAGAATCTAGATTACATAATCTTGGTGGAATAAAATAACGATTATGCAATCCATCTCCAACAGTTTCATTGTTATTCACTTTACGTAACCAATTATATGGTGAAGGTTGAATTGGATCACATCCCATGTAACCATAATTCATAGCTCTTATCGATGCTTGAATTCTATAGTCATTAGAAAGAAATTCTTCTGTATCTGAAGCTGAGTTGAATCGTGTTAATTCATTGGTTTTCTTATCGTTTTCTACAACAAGATAATACAATTAAACAAAGTTGAGTCAGCTTACTACTGAATAACGAATTAAGTAGATTAAATGAAGAACTATAAAAAAACTCATGGGATTACATCAGTTAACTAGGTGAGTCAAGCTATCAAATGTAAATCTTTGGATACCATTTAAATGATCTAAGTGTTAAGCGCTCTTCAAAAGGCCTGAAAGTCCCGGGTCTGATCCTTAGTAAGATCTGCAACGTTAACTGCCAAGTCCTATGCAAGGAAGGATTAAATAGCAGTTCAGTGCTTCATTGTTTTCAATAGCTAAGATCAGTTTGTGATTTAGATAACAAAAGATTACTTCTTAATTAATATGAAATTATACCAAACTACCAATCATGAGCGGGATCTACGGCGAAGTTCTGTCTTTTCTGTCTTTTCATTAGTGAGTTTGTGAATAGAGTGATAAAAATTTCACTGAGTCTTTTTTCCTAATCCATGATTACGTTTTTCTCACTTATGGTCGTATATTCTCGTTGAAGATATTCATTTATCAAATGGTGGATTAATTCATTTTCCGGTACCTTAGAAGGTTGTAATTAGTTTTATAGATGATACCTGCTGCAAACTTGGAATAATGCCATTAAGAACAAACTATATTCTTAGGTTATTAGTACTTGATCATAAGTGTCTTCAAATCCATTGCTTGTGTATTTAAGGACCACTGAATAAGCAATACTTTGATTAGGAATAGAGTAATGTGCAAGGATGGAAAGTGTATTGATGAGGCCTTAAACCTTAATCAACTGAGGTGGTTGGGATATGTGTTACATATGACCAACCACCACCGACCCCTCAGGTGATGTCTTCTGATACAGGAGAAGGCTGGAATATAGGTAGGGGTAGCCAAACTGATGTACGTAAGTACCAGTTTCTACGTTGTAATCTACCGACTGACTGACAGATAGATGTACATGTTAGATCACCTGAAGGTCAAAAAATAATGTTTTGAAACTATCATGATCTGTGGATCATATCAATAAAGTTGCTGATCTTTTCATAGGGTTTATACAACACAGTACTATATACAGCTAAGTTCATCATTAATACAATGATTTAATTGAGAAGCGAATTTTAATTGGATTATATTCCAGAATAGAATCTGCACCATAGACAATAAACTATGAAGATATAATTTCAATTTTTTCACACTGTATCATGACAGTCAAACAATAGATGACATAGGAGAGTTTTTCTTGTCAACATTAATCGTCTAAATAAAAGTACTTTTACAGAATCCTTACATTGTCAATGACACTTTATACATTTCATACGTGAAATCTAGAAGCGATTACCTTCATCGTGATTGGTTTGTTAGTGGTAGTATTGTAGTGAACAGAACACGAGTGGGACAATCGAATGTATTTGAGCACTAAATTACAGAGCATCTCGATAAAATCTGAGAAACGTTTAGTAAATGCTTGATTTTCAAAATGTCCATCGATTGTCTTAAAATGGCTCAAACTTCATTGTTCATACAAATCGCATTCTGCTTCCATTCTTTACTGTTCGATCCTCTTGTCTCTCTGCTGCCAGACCTTCTGTTCACGACTAACATCATATACGACTCATGTCGATAGAAGTAGCATACATCACACTCGTCACCCCCTTTAAAGTAGTCGTTACTGCGGTGGTCCATGCTTGCCGTGCCATATTCTTCTTTTCTGAAGTCTGTGCTACGCCCTCAGTCAAAATGTCGAATCCGCAGTGCGCCGACCTCCGTAGCTCCGTCTACCTGCCGTGGCACCAACATCCACCCGGCACATCGGACGTTCAACTCCTGCACTCCAGCAGCCTGCTGAGCCATCTGCATCCGATTTCCACACAGCATCCTCACATCCCATCGCCCCTATCTGTCGACAGCACCCACTAGGGCCAACGCCACCCCGTCAGAGCACTCCACTCGACGCCACCTCTCCGCACCAGACTGCCCCAATCGACACCCCAGCTCCAGGCCTGCAACGGCATCTACAGAACAGCACCCTTCCCCTCCTGGTTGACAGAGACACCAAACGTAGTGAACAAGAACATGAGTGGGAACAATCAGATGTATTTGACACGAAATTACAGAGCATCTCACTAAAATCTGAGAACCATAAAGTAAATCGTTCATTTGCAAAATCTCAATCCATCATATCAAACTTGACTGTTTCTGTTGTCTCAGATTTCATTGATCATGCGTTTTCATACCAATTGCATTCTGTTCCAGTTCTTTGTTCATCGACTTTTTACTGAAATACATTCTATGCCCGACCACCGTTATACACTACTTGTGTGAATATAAGTAACCCACACCGCAGTATAATTTGATCAAAACTGTTTATTGTTTTCATCATAGAGATCAAGCATATACAAAACATTTTCCTGAATATGTTCTTGAAGTCGAAGAATAAATTGAACTTAGACACTATTTAAATAAATCTGCCATGTAGTTTATAATCTACCGTCAGAAAGGTCTATCTTAAAGAATCAAACGCTTGAAATTATTCAAAATGAATGATGTGACAAAGTATTCTTCATAGATGTGTTAATTACTAAGATGTAGAAAGTTAAATAATCGAATAAACTAAGGGGTCATATATCTAAATAGTAAAACTCTTTAGAGACTTCTCATTTGATGTCTTTTGAAGTATCCCATCCAACAACTGTAGAAGCCTTTCTGGTAGCAAACGTTTCACTACTAATCAAGTTATGACTGTCAGTTTCAATTTCTTCACGCTGTCGAGGAGTCCCATACGAAGAAGGAACGTTTGTTCAGTGCCTCCAGGTTTTCCATGGTGATATAACTTTAATTGACTCATGAATTCAACTGCTAAATTACTATAATATCCACGAAACCCCTCTCTCTAATTGTAATCATCAAATGTTCACTACTGACGGACTCGAAGGGGTAATTCCTGGAGTTTTAGTGAGAATCCATGAACAGTGAGATTCAACCGGATCAGTTGTGAGATAGTAACTCACTGATGACAATAGCAGACGGTGGAGCAACTTCGTGGATTCATTGAAGTTAGATATTAACACCGTTGGATGCCGGCCAGCCCAGTTACTTACTGACTTAGTTACGCCTGTTAGTCCCGATCGAGCATAGGCCACCAACCACTATTCTACAGTCCACTCTCTACTGGGCCTTCTTCCTAGTTCTATCCAATTCTCATTCATTCTTCTCATGTCTGTCTCCATTTCTCGACCTAATGTGTTCTTTGCTCTTCCTCTTCTCCTTTGGCCTCGAGAATTTCATGTGAGGACTTGTCTTGTGATGCAGTTCAGTGCTCTTCTCAATGTGTGTCCTATCCACTTCCAGTGCTTCTACCTGATTACTTCCTCCGCTGGGATCTGGTTTGTTCTTTCCCACAGTAGGTTGTTGTTGGTAGTATCAGGTCAATGAATCCGAAGTACTTTGCGTAGATAGTTGTTAATAAACACCTGTATCTTGTGGATGATGGCTTTTGTAGTTCTCCAAGTTTCCATCTCATACAGTCGAACTGTTTTGACATTTGTATTGAAAATTCTGTCCTTGATGTTGGTTGACAATTGTTTTGATTTCCAGATGTTCTTTAGTTGTAGATATTTTGCTCTTACTTTGCCGATCCGCGCTTTCACATCTGCATCAGATCCACCGTGTTCATCAGTGATGCTGCCCAGATATGTAAAGGTTTTTACATCTTCCAATTCTTCTCCGTTAATTGTGGTTCGATTGGTGCATTCTGTGTTGTGTCGAAAAATATTGGTTTTCCCTTTGTGTATGTTGACACCTATTGCTTCTGAGGCTGCTGCTACACTGGTCATCTTCTCTTGCATTTGTAGTTGTGTGTACAATAGAAGAGCCAGCTCAGTGGCCTAGTGATTAAGAGTTCGCGCGCAAGACTGATAGATCCTGAATTCCAATCTCGCAGGGCGGGATCTTGGATGCGAACTGTCGAGGAGTTCCATACTAAGACAAAATGGCCATACATTGCTTTCAGGTTTTATACGGTGGTCTAACTTCAATTAACTCATGAATTCAACTTTTAAATTACATTAATTATGTTTACTTTAATCAAAAGAAAATAAGAGAATTATTTAATTTCAGATGGGTTTTGTAGATATTATAGTAATTTCAACGGTTAAGATCATGAGTCGGTTGAAGCTAGATCACCATCGAAAACCTGGAAGCACTGGACGGCCGTTCCTTCCTACTGTGGGACTTCTCAGCAGTGCGCACCCACGACCTCGCCTCAAGAGATTCGGATCCGGGACCTACTGGTTTCGCGAGCGAACACATAACCACTAGACCACTGAACCGTCATTCAACGGTGTTAATATCTAACTTCAACTAATCTACGAAATTGAGCCACTATATACACTTGTCATCAGTGAGTTGCTATCTCATAACCGACCTGGTTGAACTCCACTAGAACTCCAGAAAATACCTCTCGAAGTCAGTCACTAGTGAGCTTCCCAGTTTTCCATAGTGGTCTAGCTTCATCTGACTCATGATCTTAACCAATGAAATTATTGAATGAATAAAGATTATTAAATATTAATTTACAACTTACCAGTTCCTGAAATGGACATTAATCGTCTTTCATGTTGATTTAATAAATCTTCCACATCTGAACATACACCATTTTTTATATCCATATTAGTATATTCATTATTATTATTGTTACTAAGGGATTGTAAATGGAAATTGTTTATGATTGGTTGATTATTATGTAATTTATTACACCAATAAAATCTTGAATTCAACGGGGAATAACTATTCGATTGTTTATGAATAGAATAATCAGAATGATTATTATTGTTTATAGAGTTAATGAATGGTGATGGTGATGATGGTGATACTGATGTTGATGTTGATGATGGTGATGGTGGTGTTGAGGATGATGGTGGTGTTGAAGATGATGGTAATAAACAATTGTCCATGTAGGAATTTTTTTCATTTAATTGAATTGGAGGTTCTGTTTTGATGTTTTTCATGATTGTTTGTTTTTTTCTATCGATACTTGAACTGAAGAAAAAAAAGGTTAATAATTACAAATTGTGAGATAGAGAATGAATGCAATTTTTGATTGAGATTATGAATCGATTCATGTTAGATTACCATTAGAATTTTGGAAGTACTTGAAGATCGTTTGGTTCTAGTATGAGAATCCTCGTAAGTGCGTATCCACGAACCCACCCGTGGGAATTCGAACCCAGGACCTGCGCCACCGCAAATACGTTTGAGTTATGTTATTCAAAGTCTCCAATCACGGGTTTTGATAATCATATGGAACCCAACCAAGTGGTGTATACTTGTTGACATAGCTCAATTCAATTGTCACTGACTTCATAAACTGATGTGATATTTTGGTTCTGTGGCCCTTAGCTCTCTTCCATTCTGCTTCTACACTAGACAATATCGCCTGTCAAGATAGGTAATGGTTGAGCACATGTATTACAAGTCTTAACCATCTCAGTTAATGAAGAGTCACTACTACATCAATAGATTTTCCATCCTTATCTAGTGCTCTATTTCTAACCAAGGCATTGCCTACTTGGTGGTCGTAAAATATGCGAGCAATCCCTACACTACATGTATTCAAAAACTTCTCAAAATAGCTTGTCAGTACACAAAGTTAGTATTCACAGTCACTATGTGTTCAAATATTTATATCATATTTGAAAAACAATTTAGTAGGTTGCCTAAGTTTTGCACTCGTTTTTACATATGACAATATATGTAATTAGAGTTGAGTGCATAACTGTCTAATTGATTACTCCGTCTTATTAAAATGTTTATTCAATGCACCAAACACCACACAAATAGAGTTAGATTAACGCCATATTATATCGCAAACTATGTGATGATGGAGGAGATTTGTAACTCAGATGGATGTTTTGGTAGAGTTTTGTTCGCTGAGCGACACCATCAGCACAAACTTTATATAGAAGTCATTCAGAATAACGATAAAAGCTCCACAACCAAACCATCCAGCTCAGAGAACAAAACCTCCATCAATATCGAAAACTAATTAAAGCTGGAATTATGCTATTGGACACTGAATTATTGATTCTGTAGATAAATGTTCACTTTGAAAGCTTAAGCTCTTTGTTTCGACCTCTACCATGGTCATGGGTATAAACTTCTGAAGAATAACATACTAGGATGAAACATCTATTCAGTACTATTACAATTAAAACCATCCTCCGTAACATATATCATTTATGACAAACGAAATATAAGTTTAATTCATTAAAATAAGAATTCACCTTAAATTTGTCATTCCATCAGATAATTGTGCGGTTGATGAATTACTATTACCATTATTATTCATTGATGAACTGTCACTTAATCGATTCATCCTATTTAATTCTGGTAAATCAGGCATCCATAATGATTCTTGCGCTTCTCTCATACCTTCTTGTAATCGTTCATGCATACGACGTGCATAATTGCCTAGATTCTCTTCTTCGTCTCCACCGCCACCACCACCACCACCACCACCACCTCCAACTCCTCCTCCCTGTTGTTGAGATTGTTGTTGTTCATGATGAACATCAATTTGATGAATAGATGATTTCATAGAATTAAAATTTAACATCTTTGATTGATATATCATAGAATAAGGATTATGTAAATTTCTTGGCAATGATCCAATTATATTAGTATGATGTAATGGATCATTTATATTTGATTGTTTTGTTTGTAATGGTAATGTGAAATTTATATTATGAACTGGTAAATTAATACATTCTATTCCACTATCTGATTGATAACCACAATAGATTCGATTCATTTGATGATTAGTATTATTATTATTATCGGATGGATGAAATTTTTTATTCATGACATTAGATTGTAATGAATTACTTTTATATAGATCAACTTTCTCTGATACACATGGATTGGGTTGTAATTGCTGTTTTTGTTGTTGTTGAGGTTGCTGCTGTTGTTGAGGCTGTTGCTGTTGATGTTGCTGTTCATGTTGTTGTTGTGGAAGTTGCTGTTGTTGTTGTTGCTGCTGTTGGTGGTGGTCGTGGTGGTGGTAGTGTTGTTGTGGATCAAGATTATTTCGATGAATCTCATTGGACTTTGATGGGATTAATTGTAAATTACTTTCTGAATAATATTGATTTATTAATTGATTATTTCTTGATGGATTATCATCGGTTAAAGTATTAGACTGTTGTAATGTTTGTATAGTTATTGGATTTGTATTAGTTTGTTCAATGGATTGAGTAATCAATGTGTTATTTCTATGTTGGTTCGTTTCATTATTCTGATTTGGTTTTAGAATAGTTTTCATATCAGATGTTTGTATTTTATCATTATCATCATCATCATCATTAAGATGATGTTGTTGACGATGATGATGATGATGATGACGGCGATGTGGATTTACAGAATCATTATTTATAGTGTTATTATGATTAGTTAATGGATAACGTTGTTTTAAAGCAACATATAATTCACGAGCTTTACGACGTTGTTCTGTATTGTCTATTGATTTTTTACTTAAACTTCTATGATATGATGATGATGATGATTGTTGTTCTATGTTGATTACTGATAGAGTTGGTGATGTTAATCCTGATGATGTGGTCTCTGTTGTAATTATTTCAGTAGATTGGATAGGATTAAGTGTACCAGATTGAGAATGAAAATAATCTGAATGAGTAGTTTCTGACGAAGGTTGGGTAATTTCTTTCACTTGATTATATTTTAATAAAAGAAGAATGTTAAATGATTAAAATATATGTATATTACCAAGTTACGGTACTTATGATGATGACAACTAGTAGTTAGGTGAGTTAGGGTGATGTAGCTCACAGTTAGTTGTAGTCACGAATATAAGTCATAATAAATACTTATCGAATAAACCCGACGGATTTGAGAAAGTAACATTTTGCACGACATTACCTTGTACCTTGCTGAAAGTAAATTAGCACCTATCAATATTTCGATACGATAACGCCTAAGATTTACTGGTGTGATAAGGCTAAAAAAGACAGAAAGAAACTTAAGCGTTCTGAAGAGTGGTCCTGATAAATCTATTAGTTTTTCATTGAGATCCTGAACTGATTTAAGCTAGACAACTATTTAAAATTTGTAAGGACTAGATGACCGTTCCATCCTATAGTATGATACTCCAAAGAAATGCACATCCATGACGCCGCATGAAGGAATAGAATCCATGATCTTCAGTCTCACACGCAAACACTTAATCTCTAGACCACCGTTGGATGCTATCTAAATGATCTACAGGTTGAGAATTCGCACAGCAGACTAGGAGTCCTGGGTTCGATTCCCGTGAGCAGGGTTGTGGTTGTGCTCTACTGAGGAGTCTCATACTTAGCCGTCTAATGTTTCCAGCCTCACAATGGTGGTCTAACATTGATGGGCTCATGATTTCAATGAAAATTCAACAATCCCAACAACCCTATGATTACTACTAGTTTTTAATGTAAAAAGTAGTCAAAAACAAATCGAGATAAAATGTATTTAATATTTAAATAATGATATATGAATTTTTCAATGTAAGTTAAATTTTCCTTAGATTTGAAATAGTAGAACCGACCATGTATTTATTTATATAAAAGGCTATAAACCAATCACTCATTGTGATCCTATTTCCCAAATCCTAAACTTAATTCTTGTTTGATTTTGCTACAATTAAATGTTCACTTATGTTGTTTGTAAGCAAAGATGGATAGTGACTAGCAGTGGAATCCAAAACGCGCGTTTCGTCCTATTCGGGACTCGTCAGTTGAATGTGATTGCATCCCAGAGTTGATGTTCACCCTGGGACTCGAACCCAGTACCGTACAAGAGACCGATCAATTGCAGTCCTAAATAACAATGGGAAGATACAAATAAATCTATACCAAGTAAATTATGTTGTTTGTTTTTCAACTGGTTAAAAGCTGCACACAACTCTTAGATCAAGTATAAATCTTCTCAAGATGGTCTGTGAATTTTCCTTTCCCATCTCCGTGACATTAATATTTGTATATTGAATAATGAATAGACATATCTCTATCTTATAAAGATCAGTTGGAACTCAAACAGTACACTAATGATGACATGTTTATTTACGATATTGAGTCACTTAAGCTTAAGATGTACGAGTGAGAGTGTTCATTACCTCAACACTTCAGATACTTCTTTTTAACAGTCATCATATAATACAAAGTGTTTGCTTAAGTGTTCCTAGTAATTACTTATAGACCAATAGTGCATAAGATAGAATGAAAGTGACTATCATCAAACGAGATTATTACAGGTAATCTAATTATCAAGTGTTCTTTTCTTCATACCTCTGGAAATTTACACTTTTATGCATATTTGAAATTCACTTACCATTTGGTGTTTGAGAGGATATATTAGGCAAATATTTGTATGTCAGATTGGTTGATGTACTACTACTACTACTGCTAGTAGTAGTAGTAGCTGTATTCATTTCTTGTCTAGTTTTTGTTATCAATGATGTTTTATTAACTTGTTGTACTGAATGAATGGATTGATGATTAGACACATTTTGAGCTTGATTTGTCTCTTGAATTCTAACACGACGACTTATAACTGCATTATTCTTGTTTATAATCGTAGTTGTAGTAATACCATTGATAGTAGAAATAGTAGTAGTAGTAGTAGTGGTGGTCGTCGTCGTTATGGCAACAGTAGGAGCAGCATTTGTTACACTTGAATAATTACAGTTTGTAACTGGCATAAAATTGGAATTCGGCGCTTGCGTAGCTGGACGATATGAAATCGGTGGAACAAATGGTTGAATTATTGGTGAGTATTGTTGTATGTTTACAGTGGATGGATGATTGTGTATTTGTGTACATTGTGTGAGCGGTAGTGGTGGTGGTGGTGGTGGTAGACCTATGGGTATTGATTGGTTAACTGTAGAACAAATAATATTAGTATCATTTGAATAGGGAATACCAGTTTTGATAATGTGTGAATTTGATTGAAGCGGTATTGTTTGATGATGGGATTGATGAGTTTGCCGGGTAGGTTGAAAGTGTTGTTGTTGATCAGTCCTTTGTTCAAATATACTGTTTCCTGTCATATAACGTCGTGTATCATGAAGATAATTAGACATTAATGGTTGTATTGTGCTTGTTGATATTGAATTGATTGAATGAGATCGCTCTGGTGTAATTGGATGTTGAAACTAGACAATAACAATAACAAAATATTAAAAAGTTATCAGCTTAATATATTACTTATATTCAGTTAGTAAGAAATTAGTGTTTGATAGTTATGTATCTTATATATAAAACTATTATAGCTCTTTTGATGTTTACATTAAAATGAATTTGATATAACCCTTTTCCGCTTAGATCTATCTTAATTCATCTAATTAGAATAGTACGGTCAGTCAATAATTCATACAATATGACTAGTTTTCCGGATGAATACTTTCATCATTGTCATATCCGAACGAAGAATAGATGAATGGTAACTGACTGGGATTATTTATGGATTATTATCATTATGTGTATTCCTATTGGATATCTATTAAGTAACTAGATTATATATATACACCAAGGTCAGAATTTTCAATACAAATGTCAAAACAGTTCGACTGTATGAGATGGAAACTTGGAGAACTACGAAAGCCATCATCCACAAAATACAAGTGTTTATTAACAGCTGCCTACGCAAAATACTTCGGATCCATTGACCCGACTTTATCAGCAACAACCTACTATGGAAGAGAACAAACCAGATCCCAGCGGAGGAAGAAATCAGGTAGAAGCACTGGAAGTGGATAGGACACACATTGAGAAGAGCACTGAACTGCATCACAAGACAAGCCCTCACATGGAATCCTTAAGGTCAGAGATAGAGAGGAAGACGAAAGAACACATTAGGTCGGGAAATGGAGACAGACATGAGAAGAATGAATGAGAATTGGATAGAACTAGGAAGAAGGCCCAGTAGAGAGTGGACTGTAGAATAGTGGTTGGTGGCCTATGCTCGATTGGGATTAACAGGCGTAACTAAGTAATTAAGTAAGTAATATATATATTCTTTTTATTATGAGCTTCCATTTGACCTATTGACTACCATTATACGATCTACTATTCCTAAGTTATTCCCAATATGTTAGTTACAGTCTCTACCATAATCATCCACACTATAGTACCTCAAACTTTTAGTGAATTTTTAGTTAAATTCTCAAAGTAACATTAGTAGACGATTACAAGTACTTTATATAGGCCATAGAATCACTCTTCATCACTGATCTATTCAATTTTTTTAGGATAACATTGCAGTCTTTTTATCAAGAGAATACTGGTTTCGAACTATCATATCTGACACAACAAGCAAAACATTTAAGACAACTCTTTACTTACAGTTTGATGATTATTTTAGAATATGCCATACATCACTATGACAACTTTTAGTTAAACCAATCTAATCATATCTATAATTTATGGACGACCTTTGCGCGGTGTTAAAGTGACTTTGAGAGGGTCCACCTCATAACCAGGATCAAATGAGGGTTATGAACCTGTATGAGGAATTATAATTCTAATTTACAGTTGATGATTTAGGTTAGTGATAAGTCTTGCTAATTGAACGCTTTATTCGATTCCTAAGCTATTCTCGTAACCCACAAGCTAGAACTACACAGCGACCTGAACACGAAAGGAAAGGCGCAAAATAGACGAGAATCACTTTACTCCAAAGGTTCGTTTTAGTACAAAAAATACAGGGTTTTTATAGTATTTTAGATGCCTTTGGATTTCCCGAAGATTCTGGAATGCTACTAAAGATAATAGCAGTATAGTAATCAGCTAATCAGAAACTCTACATGTGACTTTTCACTTTCTTGATATTTCTGGCTAAAGTTCAAGTAAACGTTGATTGAATAAAATACTTCTTAATGTTTCCTGAGACTTTCTTGTCTTTTGCGAGAAGTTTTCTAGATCACCCCAACAGTTAGGAATTAGATTTAGGGGGTTTCCATTACGAACTGACATCATCTATAATGACAAAACTCTATCCAAATGGATGAGTGAATTTCACGCGTCAAAATTCCAAAGACCTTTTATCTTATACTTAATTGGTTCGTCCATAAATTATAGTCTCTTCCATTCTATCATTAATTATTTTCATAATATCATGCATAACCACCATAATAATTTTTCACTTACTTCATTTGTTCCCGAGATAAATGTATTTGGATATTGGATAGGACGATGTTGATGTTGATGTTGATGATAATGTGAAGGATGATGATGAGGCAGCGGCGGTGGTAGAGAAGGTGAATAATTCATTGATGATGATATTTCTTGAGATGTAGTTATTTGTTTTAAAGTTTGGTTTGTATTTTGTTGATGAATATTCGTTGGTGTAGTCGTAGTCGTAGCCATCGTCGTCGTAGTAGTAGTAGTAGTAGTATGAGGATGAGTAGGAGTACTAGTACTAGTACTAGTACTAGTATGTATAATATTTCCAGATAATTTATTCATACATGTTATTGATTGATTATAGTTTATTGAATATGGATATTGTTTCTGTGTAGTAGTAGTAGTATTATGATAATATTGACTTAATGTTATACGTGGTTGAATATTAGTTGTTTGATATGTATTATCTATACTATTCATATTTATATGACAAGTTGTATTATTCATTGAATGATTATCTAAAGTTGATTGATTTTGAATTGGATAATTCATATATGGAATACGATCGATTTTTGTTGGGGATTCTTTAATCTTTGAAGACGATGATGATGATGATGATGACATATGATGTGAATTCATATTAGATTGTTGATATAAATTTAATTGACGTGGCATTGGTATACCAGATGAAGTTGTTGTTGTTGATGATGGTAATATATTCTCTATTGTAGACGAGATAATCTCTGTTGTCTTGATTAGTTTTTGTTCCAAAGATAATTTTGGTGATAAATTAGTTATATAATGGGAATTTTGTAATTTATTTCTATCGATTTCACTTGGTGATAGTTTATTGATTATTGATTTTTTTGGTGATGGAGAATTTCTTTGTTTTTGATGATAGTTGTTATGATGCTGTTGTTGCTGCTGCTGCTGATGATGATGATGATGATGATGATTGGATTTTGTTTTGGATGACTTAATATTCAAATCTAAGATAAGGAAGAAAGGAGGGGAAAGCAAATAATATGATGATTATGTCTTTTTCGTTATGAATAAATTTTAGATTAACTCTGACTGTCGCCCCTCTGAGGCTACTGACGGTCCCAAGCCAGAATAAAGGAGGAGGTTTGGACATGGGGTTAGTGATCCTATCGCGTAGAAAACCAACTCGCTAAAAGAAACGCTGACCAGAAAAAAGATAATTCAAACCATTTAAATTCTGCCCTGGGATTTAGGAGGTTTTCATTAAGAAGAGTTATCACGACTCATGGTGAAAGCCGTGTTGCTTTGGAAGTCACGAGGCTGATGCCCCTTCTGACAACCAGAGCAATCATTAAGTTATGTACACGCAATACTCGTACAATGTGGAAGACTGGGAGAATCTTCTAAATTGCTGTAAGTTTTAGATTAAACAACCAATGAGAACCAGGACAATTGTTTTATTCTAGTATTGAATATTTAAGCCATACACACCTTACTAAAAATTTAACTTAAGAGCTTGAGACCACTTGATGAAAGCTTGACAATCAGACCATTAAGTTAGCATCTAATGATCTGTGTACTGAACTACCTCTTGGATAAGGAGGAATTAGAGGATAAGTTTGAACAATTGTATTCAACTGAATTCAAAGACCCATTTAGTCGTACTTCATCTATGTCTGTGGAAGATCGTATAGCATTACCAGAATCGTACAAATCACTGGCTAGTCAGATTCATTGCTCTGCCGATGCTTCAGAATCTGCATATGGTGTTGCGGAGTATGCTCGTTCCGAAAATGCCTCTCGTCAAGTTCATTTTTCCTTTTTGTTAACTAAGCCCAAAGTTTTTAAGCCAAAAACTGAAGTAACATCTGCTAATAAACCTAAATCAACTCTAAGAAAGCTTAAGGAAAAGAAGGACACCAAACTGAAAGTCAAGACTACGAAAAGGTCTAAGGCCACTGCAACAAAGAAACCAGTAACTCAGACCCAGAAGAAGCAGGCAGCACATATTCGCCGTGGTATCGAGGATGGTGTTGAGAAAAGCGCCCTTGTACGAGTTGTGAATAAAACTAAGAGTGCACCTGGTAGCTTTACAGGAGCCAATGCCATTCTTAGACAGATCATGTGTTGTTGGAACCAGAATAAGATAGCAAATGCCTTATTAGATATAGGTTGTGAATGGCGCTTTAACCTTCCAAGAGCTAGTCAGCGAGGCAGTGTATGAGGACGCATCATAAAGTCAATAAGAAGAATTCTGCAATCACTTTTGCTTCAGAAGATATTGACGGATGAGTCTTTAGGGACGTTTTTAATAGAAGTTGAAAGAATACTGAACAATCGACCACCCTTAAAGCTAGTTAGTGACTGTGATAATGTGTATGTACTTACGCCAAATAAGTTATTGTTAGTTTACAGAGATGTATCATTCAACTAAGCGCAGATGAGTAAGAAGTGCTTATATAACCTATTCTGGAACAGTTGGTTATGGGAGTACCTACTAACCCTTCAGGCGAGATTCAAGTAGTTGGACATGAGAAGGAACCTACAATCGTGAGACTTAATGTTACTAAACAATATTGGCTCACTGAGAAATCTATGGCCTAAAGCCATTATCGAACAGGTAAGCTATGGCCTTGATGGACGAGTTCGTACAGCAAAGTTGAGAACTGCAAACGAAGAAGTCGTTCGAGATGTACGAAGCCTATGCGTACTGGAAGAAGCCGGCTATCTGGCGGTGACGACGACCCAGAACAATGGACGTGGTGCGCGTTTCGGGGGGAGTGTAAAGTGTGATCGATAAACGGACTCACCAATAATAAAGTGAAACTCCCACCACCACATTAACCTTCTTTGACCTTGTATGACTATGTCTTGTTTATTCACCAATCACAATTTTATGTTCATTATAAAACAATTCAGTCATGTAAGGAGTGAGACAAACATCATTCATTGCGATGGATAATAGTCATGTTATTAGGTGAATTGACTGAATTCAAAAATGAAAAGTCAATGGAAACTAAGATAGAGCTGAGTCTCCTGACTTCAAATCCTGTTGGAGTCGTATTTGTACATATTTGGAGAGTTCTATGGTAAGATAAAACATTTTCACAATCCATACTGGTTTTCAATGATTGTCTAAATGAATTCAGTTTGTGGAGAAAATCACAAGTCCAACAATCCATAAAACTCTTTATACTAAGAAGGTGAACATCCGGTTAATCAATTACATTCGCGACGTGTAACTAATATTTGCCAAACTTGTAAAAGATGACACATGAAAGATTCGAATATGCTAATTTTCCAGAATATTATCTGAAAGGGTATCATAATTTGCTGCAATTTGGGTGTGTGCGAGTGTGTAGAGAGGAATAGAATCCCTTCTTTTGAATATCAGTTGGTCAGTGGACAAACAATATAATAGGAAGCACATATTTATGTTCATGAGTCAGTTGAAACTAGAACACTATGGAAAACCTGAAAGCACTGGACGGCCGTTTCGTCTTAGTATGGGACTCCTCAGCAGTGCACATCCACGACCTCGCCCCCTGCGAGATTCGAATCCAGGTTTCGCGCGCGAACATTTAACCACTAGACCACAATAGGACGGAACGACCGTCCAGTGCTTCCAGGTTTTCCATGGTGGTCTAGCTTCAACTGACTCATGATATAAACCACTGAAATTAACATAATATCCACAAAACTCATCTGAGAATAATTATGAGTTACACCTTGTGCTGTACTAAATCCACCTTCAAACTACTTATAAGTAGCTTAGAAAAATAAACAGAAAATTAAAAAAACTACATTTCGTAACCAAGAATAAAGGTAACTCAAGTTTTCGTTTTTGTTGTCTATTCATAGATTTTCTAAGAAAAACACTATAAAATACATGAATGAGAAAAAAACGTCTATCGATAATAACAAAGCAGTTGAATATATATTGCTCTGAAGTGCATTTGTGCATGTGTACGTGTGTCACAATAGTTCATACATTATTCTCATAGTTTAAACTGATTCCATATATGGCGTCCATTGTCAATTCAGCTAACTTACAGTCCAATAGTGTTACATTAGAAACATTAGTTTCTTATGTGAATATATTGATAATGAATTCAAAGATGGAAAAGCGTGAGAGGTTTTTTTGAATTTAACTTCGTTTATCATTTATCATTGGGTTTGTTTGTTTGTTTTTCTGATATCATGAAAAGTATACCAGTGTTACTCAATATAACTTCGAACTATAATGAGACATTTATAAGTTTTTTAGTTTTACAAAAGTTAATTGTGAGTTTTTTGTTGTTGCTTTATTACTTGGAAACAAATTTAGAATATATGCCTGTCACTCACAATGGAACAGCATTCTCTAATCCACTCTCTACTGGGACTTCCTTTCAAGTTACATCCAATTTTTATTCATTCTTCTCATGTCTATCTCCATTTTTCGGCGTAATGTGTTTTTTAGTCTTCCTCTTTTCCTTTGGCCTTCAGGATTCCATGTGAGGGCTTGTCTTGGGACGTAGTTCGATGCTCGCCTCAATATGTGTCCTATCCACTTCCAGTGCTTCTTCCTGATTTCTTCCTCCACTGAGATCTGATTTGTTCTCTCCCCCAGTAGGTTGTTGTTGATAATGTCTGGTCAACGGATCCGAAGTGTTTTGCGTAGATAGTTGGTAATAAACACTTGTATTTTGTGGATGATGGCTTTTGTAGTTCTCCAGGTTCCCACCCCATACAGTAGAACTGTGTTGACATTTGTATTGAAAATTCTGACCTTGATGTTGGTTGACAATTGTTTTGATTTCCAGATGTGCTTCAGTTGTAAATATGCTGCTCTTGCTTTGCCGATCCACGCACTCACATCTGCATCAGATCCACCGTGCCCGTCAATGATGCGGCCCAAATATGTAAATGTTTTTACATCTTCCAAATCTTCTCCATCAATTTTGATTTGATTGGTGCATGTTGTGTTGTATCGGAAACATCGGGTGATAGAATTTCTTTTCTACCATCTTCTTTTGATGGTATATTGAAAATAGTCGACAGACTGAATATACATTATGTTGTATAAGTTCCGTGCATATTATTACAGTTTATGAAATCTATTCAATCCATTCAAGTATGCTTTCGAACTAAATAAGAATTGAAGAAGCAACTTTGAGATTGTAGAATATAAGAAAATTAATCAAGAATAGTGTTTAACGAATTGTATTCAATCAGGATATTTATAATTGATTATTAAATGACCATTTTGGATAGAGGAAGTATCACTAGGTACTTACAACACGTTGGAGTGTTGAGGACAATACTTACTTATGAATGATTTGAAAGGTAGATTTAGCGTATGTTATATGAATTCAATAGTCATTTTTATCCCCGTTAAAACTGTTCTGTTTATTGTATACTGATGCCTATAAAAAACATTTATTCTATTCTGAGTATAGTTTTTCTTCATGAACTATTGTTCACTGAAAAACCATTGGAAATGGAAGAACATCAAACTGTTATTCAAGACTTGTTACAAACTCTGTAATGGTACCAACCCCCATTATTTTGAATAGGGGTTGGGGGACATTGGCATTGCTCATTGATAATGATACTATTTATTTGTTAACAAAGCATACAATAATTCACATTTTCAATGACAATTAATTTTAATCAGAGAGAGGGGGGGTTGTGGAGATTTTAGTAATTTAATAGTTGAATTCATGAGCCAATTGAAGCTAGACCACCATGAAAAATCTGAAAGCACTGAATGGCCATTTCGTTCTAGTGTAGGACTCTTCAGCGGTGTACATCCACGATCCAGCTCCGCGAGATATAAACCCTATCGGTTTCGTGCGTGAACGCTTAACCTCTGGACCACTGAGCCAGCATCTAACGGACAATGGTGGAGAATGGAGAAATTTCATGGATTGGTTGAAGTTAAGCATTAACAACATTGGATGCCGGCCAGCTAAGTGGTCTAGAGGTTAAGTGGTAGCGCGCGAGACCGATAGGTCCTTGGTTG